GAAAGAAGAAAGAAGGATAAAATGACGGTTATAAAGAGAGAAAAAAAGAGGGATGGTAACAATCAAGAGAAAGAGTAATACAGGCTGAAACCATAACGAAAAATTAGAATAGAAAGAAGGAAGAAGGAAAGAGAGAGAGAGAGAGAGAGAGAGAGAGAGAGAGAGAGAGAGAGGAGAGAGAGAGAGAGAGAGAGAGAGAGAGAGAGAGAGAGAGAGAGAGAGACAAACAAACAAAGCAACCTAAGAAAAATAATAAACAAAAAAAAGCCCACCTCATAAGAAAAAAAGCAGCAACAACAAAACAACCGATAGGCCTACCGAAACGTTGTGCTCCAGAACGCCCTCCTTGAAGAACTGGGGAAGGGCCTCACGCACCCTGGCCCCTAGCTCCTTCATCTCGACACGCCCCGTCTCGAACAGCTGCATCCGGCGGTCGTGGGAGAGCTTGTCGGGATCCCATTCCTTCAGGAGCTCGAGGTCCTTCCTGCACAAGGAACCTGGGGGGTTTGGTCATGGGAGGATGATGCCGGCAGGATGGTTAAGTTATTGTTATTGTTTATGTTTTTTATTATTGGTATTATAACTATCATTGTTGTGTATTATATGATAATGATCATAACAATAATAATGATGATGATGATAATAATAATAATAATAAAAAAAATAATAATGATGATAATAGTAATAATACTAATGATAATAATGATAACAATAATAATGATAATAATTATAAATAACAATCATTATTATCATTACCATTCTTATTGTCATTATTATCATTATTATTATCCTTATTATCATGATCATCATCACAATTATTAACACTATCTATCTACCAGTATCATCATAATCATCACTACTAACACTATGCATGCATATATATATATATATATATATAATATATATATATATATAATATATATATATATATATATATATATATGCCCAATATCCCCGCACCAACAACACCAACATCCCCAACACTAGCTCAATACCCCCCCCCCCATCACCACCACCATCAACAATACCCTCAACCACCCCCCCCCACTACCATCCCCCCACCTGCTCAACATCCCTTCCTCCACCACCACCATCAACACCACCATTTCATCACCCCACCATCACCACCTCAACCCCCACCCCACCAGCTCAACATCCCTTCCTCCAACACCACCATCAAAACCCTCAAACCCACCCTCCCTACCAGCTCAACATCCGTTCCTCCACCACACCATCCCCTCACCCCCCCCCCCCCACCATCTCCGCCACCAGCTCAACACCCCTTCCTCCACCGCCACCATCAACACCTTCCCCTCCCCCTCACCACCTCTTCCTCCACCACAATCAACAACAACCCTCAACCCCCCCCCCCCCTCAAACCACCACCACCACCATCCCCACCACCAGCTTAACACCCACCTCCAGCTCAACACCCCATTCCCACCCCCACCCACCTAAGCCATGGTGGTAGGCCTTCACCAGCTTCTTCCTGAGCAGCGGCAGGTGATGCCTGATGAAAGACCCGTCAATTTTTGTTGGGTGTCGGCTGCCATGTCGTATCATCATCCACACACTGTGCACATCGCATCCACTGCCTGAAAGGAGGTGAGTGGATGAGTGGCGGTGAGTGAGTGATGAGTGAAGGCGGTGAGTGAGTTGATGATGATGAAGGCGGTGAGTGAGTGATGAGTGAAGGCGGTGAGTGAGTGATGAGTGAAGGCGTGAGTGAGTGATGAGTGAAGGCGGTGGTGAGTGATGAGTGAGTGAGTGAGTGATGAGTGAAGGCGGTGAGTGAGTGACGAGTGAAGGCGATGAGTGAGTGAAGTGAAGTGAGTGAGTGATGAGTGAAGGAGGTGAGTGAGTGATGAGTGATGGTGAGTTCGTTGATGGGGAACAGCTGAGTGGGTGGAGAGAGAGAGAGAGAGAGAGAGAGAGAGAGAGAGAGAGAGAGAGAGAGAGAGAGAGAGAGAGAGAGAGGAGAGAGAGAGAGGGAGAGGGAGAGGGAGAGGGAGAGGGAGAGGGAGAGAGAGAGAGAGAGGAGAGAGAGAGAGGAGAGAGAGAGAGAGAGAGAGAGAGAGAGAGAGAGAGAGAGAGAGAGAGAGAGAGAGAGAGAGAGAAACCTTGAAAATATACGTCGTTAAGAGAGACGCAAACACACCAAACAAATGCACACACGGTACTCATTTTGACAACGGCATATCACGGCAATGAGGTAATTAGCAGAAGACAACAAGAACACATAAAACAGGAAAGAAATAAAGAAACCCAGAATAGGTCTCGAAATTTCGCAAACCTACTTTGCAAAGTCGACAATTCTTCCCTGATGTTTCCATGGGCGTGATAATAGGGCGTCTTGGTTGCGAAATTCATATAGGGATGTTTTGTTTCAGACAAACACTCGGTCTTGTCATCAGAATCGGCGCAGTTCTTCGTTATAAAGATGCTGATGAGTAGTGCCAACACGAGGCTCTTGTGCCGGTTTCGTGTTGACATTTTACCTGGAACTGAAAACAATATATAGGCCTATCGTATTAACTTTCGTAAGTAAGACCAGTTTCAATGGTAAAATTTACGGTAATTTAACTGATTGACGCTTTTCTGTTGATAACGATGAAAGGATTATATGGCATAAATAATGAATCTGAGTACTACATGACATAAATAATNGTCTATTTACGCAACGTCATGTTACCATATACTAATTCTTCAACATCTATTTCCAAGTCATTACCAATGTCCATTTTCAAAATTATTTACAATGTCTATTACCAAATTAACTTTGTCTATTTCCATGTTAAATTCAATTTCATTTATTTCCAATGTCTAATCAATTTCATGTCAAATTCAATTTCAATGTCTATTTCCAATGTCTAATTCAATCTCAATGTCTAATTCAATTTCAATTGTCTAAATGTTAATCCAATTCTAAATGTCTAATTCAATTTCGATGTCTATTTCCATTATCTATTTCCCAAAAAAACAAATCAAGAGAAGAGCAGCGGTTTGCGTCCCGAGTCGCTGCACCGAGCGCGGGAAAAGAGAAGAAGCGAGGGAAGCGCAAGTGTTGAATGGATGTTTGATGGACCGCTGAGGGAAACGAGGGGAGCGGGTTATGGTTACGTGAAAAATAAATATACACGAGAAAGGATCTATACATAACAAGGATTTCCTAGCAGACGCTCTTTCGGAATCATTGAGCTTCATCTTTAGATTCTGTTCGGCGTCAAGAAAGGAATAACTGGCAACTCACCCCGGACCCTGGCCTCGTTTGATTCCCATTATACCTTTGAGACTACCCATGAATTTCACTGGAATCCCGCGATTTTCTGTGGGCTGGAACCAACCCATCCATCCGTGGTGTTCACACAGAAAAGGACCATCGGCTTTGTCCAGTGGAATCAAGCCATCAAAAAGAACCGCAGAAACTCGCTATGGATCCCACAATATTCTTCCCAACTCTTGCTATTCTTTCATGTTTTCGGAAAGAATAGCACATTTCAACTATTCACGGGATCTGGGGTTTCAACTTAAAATTGGCGGCTACGTGTTTGTTTACATTCGTCAGTCAAATGAGAATCCATGGTCAATGCTTTTGTTTTCACTTTTTTCGCATTTTATCTTAAATCCAAATGTAAATATTGATGTAAAACTAAATATGGTAATTCTAGAGATGGAATGTTTTTCCTCATATCCCCCCCCCTATCCCCTACGATTTGGGGGGACACGTGGGGAATCGGGGGACCACACACAGGCCCTCCCACACAAGCTTTCATTTGACAACTGCAAAGAAAATGCATTTTCGTAAAGACGAGCAGATTTCCCACAAAATTACCTTTTCAAGGTTATTTGAAGGTAATTTAAAATGTAAAAGTGCAAAAATGAAAAAGCCAAGAATCGCATTTCGCATAATAATGAAAGTGCAAAAATGAAAACCCAAGCCAAGATTTGGCCTTGTAAGATTCGAGTGTTGCGCGAATGAACGAGCTAATGAACTCCAGCCTAAGCAAATAAATCACTATAAAGAGAGCTGTACTAACCAAAAACCTTCCTAACCCAGGGGCTATGTCCCCAACCCCCCCCCCTGCTGTCGGGGCCAAGTTTGTCGCTAACGGGGGGGTTTCCGCGCAATAAAACCTACATATTTGCATTGTATAGAGTGAGAGGAATCCAACAATACCAAAATCGTCGATATCGGCTATGCGGACATAATATAGAAAATTACCCCCCCCCCCCCTACTATTGCCATGCTTCCCTAACCGACCGCCGTGCTTCCCTTGCCATTGCGATAACCAAGCCAGTAAGATAACCAAAACTAATATGGAATAAGTACCTGATTTAATCTGCCTGAGGATGGGTAGGGCTCTGAAGACACGTTGTTAAATATCAAATTTGCACTGCTGCTTGCACTTGGGGCAGTCTCGTGTCTTTTGAAAAACGAATCCATGGCCATGCACTAATTCAGCAAGTGTTTCCATTTTATCCTTGCATTGTTTCTTGTTATAAATCATTCCAGTGACAAACCATTTCACCGATTAATTACACTCTCTGCGGCAGTTCGAGTTGACAGGACTTCTTACCCAATGGCCAATGACGTATCACTGCGCCATACATTGATGTCACACCAAATTTTGAACGCAAAATGTGAATAGATTAGAGAAATTAATTAATAGAATGGTAATTCATATTGTTTGGAGAGGAAGCATCGAAAATGAACAAGAAATTACGCGTATTATGTTTATCAAACGATAGATACTAGCACACGCACTACTTCTTTGAGCGCCATCTTCTGAGTTACATGGTTTGTTTACATTAACTTTGCCGATAAGCGAAGAAGGGGGCTTGGTCTGCGAGCGACAAATTTCGGCACCTTTATTATAATATTATGACGTAATTATGTATTTACGCGCTCTAAAGTCCCCGATTAGTTTGCATGTTGCTCTTCCATTTTAGTAGCATTTCAAGATTGTTTCTAAAATTCTATATCGTCTCGATTAACCAAACTGACTGCCGCCAATATCCAGGTACGGTACGGATTCGCGAAATCCGGCGATTGTTGATGGAATTTGCCCATTGATGGACTCGATGGACTCGCGTTCGATGCGATGGATACCCACACGTCCATCGATGGACGAGTGGAAAAAATGCACACGTTGAGTATGCATGGTATGCATATATATTCATTTCAAAGCATAAATATTATTATATAATTTAAATCATTCAGAAGTACCGCAAATTTCAACGAAATAATAATGATAATAAAAGATTTTAAAATCAGTAAAAATCTGAGGAAAAAACAAATCCACATTGCCTATTTGTATGTCTGTGAAGAAGAAACAAAAGAATTAGAAGGGAAATTATAAAAATGCAGAAACAAGTTCATGTTAACAAAAACAAACAAACACACCATGTAGGTAGCAACTCCTAAATAACAGAATAAAACTAATAGTGTTAAATTGCAAAACAGGAAGAACAAGAATAAAGAAAGCATCAATACCATCATTACCATCACCATCATGATCATCATCATTACCATAATTGTTATTATCATCATTATAATCATCACCACCACCATAACAAAAACAAGAACCGCCGTCAATCATCATCATCACCACCACCATAACAAAAACAAGATCAAAACAAAGAGAATGGGAAAACCAACTCAAAACAAAGAGAAAAGGGAAACGAAAGAAGATAAAGAAATAGTTTCCCCCAAGAGAGTAACGTCAGTCCCCGCCATTGCACAAGACCTCTCAGTAGGTGACAACAATCCTCTATAAATAAAAGCACACACGGCCACAGAGGGACGTTCATAACAGAGGGAGAACAAAAATAAAGATTACAATTGACAGGGAAACAACATGACTCACGCACCACATGACTTGAGTCCGCGTAATTGTGTTAGTCATTCTTAAAAAATACGTAATATACATACGTGTGTGCGTGTGTGTGTGTGTGTGTGTGTGTGTGTGTGTGTGTGTGTGTGTGTGTGTGTGTGTGAGTGAGTGAGTGAGTGAGTGAGTGAGTGAGTGTGTGTGTGTGTGTGTGTGTGTGTGTGTGTGTGTGTGTGTGTGTGTGTGTGTGTGTGTGGTGTGTATGTCTTGAGTGCCGTGCGTGCGTGTGTTGTGTGAGGTGTGTGTTGTGTGTGTGTCTTTTTCCCTTTCTTTCTCTTAATGATTATCGACCAGCTTGCTCAAATTGTCCGAGGTCCGACCCAATGAATATACACAGAAATAAATGCATACCTGTCTATCTAATAGATATACACTTATCTATCTGTCCGATTGATATGCATGTCTAGACCGATAAATATCCATCCATCTCTGTATATATACCAATCCGTATGATGATTTTTTAATGGTTCGCATGTCATTTGTCCTTTTTTCTTCATATCATTTCATCCGATGCACAATACGTAATCGCTAATAATAATTCATTCCTCGCTTTTCATTGTTTTTGTTGCTTGAGTTCATCCGTAAAAAAGAGCATTTAAGGAAGGGATGCCCGTGAAGCAAGCACCAAAATAATGAGATACTGCTCGTGAACCGGATCCGAGTACGGACTTCGGATTAAGACAAATGATTCACTGCTGCCCGGGAGATGGCGTTATAATAAAGTGGATCATCCGAGACATTCAGACTTTCTATGTTCCTGCAGTAGATTTTGCGTTTTTCTTGTTTTGTTGCATGCACTTCGAAGCTAGAGTTTGAGGCATTGCAAGCAGGTTTCGAACTATTATTGCCGTAATATTGATTATAATTCTGAATACAGTCACTGCCATCTTTACTGTTATTACCCACTATTATTTTTCTTTATTAATAGTGTTGGAATAGTTGCAGGTAAGTGGATAAGAAAACAATTGTAAGAAAATACTATTAACTATGCAATAAGACCCAATAACACGAAGAACAAACGGTCATAATTTGATTAGTAAAAAAAAAAAAATATAATGACACTGCCAATAATTACGATAATGCTAAAATCTATGCCATTTTTGTCATCATGATTTTCATCATCATCATCGTTAATATCATCTTCACCATCATCGCCATATAACTATTATCATTATCATATGAATTTAAATCACTATTTCTTTATAATCGTTACTATATATTTATTATTATTATTATTAGTATTATTATTATTATATCATTATTATTAATTATCATCATTATTATATTATTATATTTTTATTATTATGATGCTCCTTATCATTATATCATTATCATCATCATTACTATTATTTCATTCTTATCATTATATCAATTATCATCATTTTTATCACAATATTCATTATTATTATCATATATTATCATCTTCACTATTAATTTGATCATAATTACTATCAACACTGTTATTATTACAGTTATCATAATAATAACAATAATCATAATGATAATTACAATCACCATCATCAGAATAATGACTGTACTGATAATAGTAGCAATAATTATGGTTATAATAATACTAATGATTATAACGATGATGATAATATAAAGAAAA